TTAGAATCTTCCCCTCTCCTCTTCCCGCTGCAGATTATTGAAAGAAAAATTACACATATCCTTATAATACACACATCATGAAATGTTTGCATATAGGGTTGGGGGTGCGGGCAGATAGAATCCTTGCATGCTTTTCCTCACATTGTGTTCTCACAGGGCTTGTCGCATCCTAGTCCTAGCTCGGTTGTATGCCTTGCAGGGTTCTTATTCCAGTGGCAGTTTGTAGCATGCCAGATGTTCTAACCTCAAATTTGCAGGGTCTATTAGAATTACTGTGGTTTAGAGAGGAAAAACTGTTTCTTTCAGAAATAGACACTTTTAAAAATAATTTATTGTAGTACAAGCTGAGTGTGAATGATTTCTGTGTATTTCAGAATCAGATTTCCTTAACCCCAAAAGAGTTCATTTTCCTTTTAGTGTGGAGTTTTAAAAAACTATACTGCAATCTAACCAGTGTGCAGTCAGCTCTTTGTAGCAGTCCTCCTGCTTAGAAAACCCAGCCCTGTTATACAGACAAAACAGTTCTAATGCTAGCAAGGGACAAGCTCAGATGAACTCATTTGCCCTTTAAGCCCACTACTAGCTTTTAGGAAGGTAGCAAGCACATGTTGTTCTACTTAAGCCATGTGCTACGTTTCCAGAATTTATTAACTCATTAGTTTCTGGAATAGAATACTATATAAAACATAAGGATAACCAGTATTTAAACCTTTAAAAGATGCTCCCTTAACTTTTAGCTTTGCTTTTCAAGGATGTATTGGCATGAGGCTATTAATGTTCAGTAGATAAGCACAGTACTTCTGACCTATGTGGATGCAAAGAATAATTGACATGGCTTTGAACTACTGTATTACCAGCCAATAAAATTGTTCTTCTAATCCCAGGCAGACTTTACCTAAGGCTCAACATGCTGTCTAGTTCCAATCTGTAAAGCTTCTAAACGTTAGCAGTATGGCTTCAAATAACCTTCCCAGGGCCAGTCTTACCTCAAATGGCACCCTGGGTGAGGCTGGAGGTGGAGCAGAGTTTGGGGATGGAGTTTGTCTGGGTACAGAGCTGGGGGCAGAGCGGGCCACAAGGTGGAGCGGAGGTGCAGGCAGAGCGGGGAGTGGAGGCAGCCCGGGGCTGTGAGGTGAACAGGATTTGGGGGTGGAGCTGGGCAGGGGACTGTTATTGTGACACTCTCTTGATGGCGCACCCTCCTGACCATGGCGCCCTGGGTGGTTGCTCACATCGACCACCCCTACGGCCGGTCCTGAACCTTCCCTTTGTACCAGAAGAATAAATGCTGTGGTGTAGTAATATCCAAGTTTATTTCATAATATTAGTGTTAAAAGTATTAATTAGTTATTAGGGGCCAAATTCTACTACCCTTAGTGAATTTCTTCCTTGATTAACTGAAATCAGTGGGACAATTCATGAAGTCAATTTCTACTCAACATGAGTAAGCATGGCAGAAACGAGGCCCTAGGAAAATTGTACAGGGATAATCCTATGTAACCACTGTGAAACAACATGTGTTTTCAGAAAGAACCTTGTGTCTGACTACTGTTATGACTGTACATAGTTTTGACTGTGAAATGTAACATGTCACTATGGCTGCAGTGCAGAGGAGATACGAGGATTGAATACAGCCCTATGAAAAACCAAAGCTCACCTGCAGTGTATGCACCACTCCCTGCTTGCCTTCCTGAAAGAGTTCTCTGTAATAACTGCTGCTGTAGACCACAGCGGGCCACAACTGACCCAGAGATCCAAGGTGGGTGAGGTAATATCTCTTATTGGACCAACTTCTGTTGGTAACAGAGACGAGCTTTCAAACTACACAGGGAAAGGTACTCCCAGTGCCACAGCAAAATGCAAAATTCATTACTCTGCTAGACACTAAAAATTATGGTCTGAACCGAGATGCTGGATTTATGGCTTAATTACAACAATCTGTAACCCACTAACCCCCTTCTTTTTTTGTCTTATGACTGCAGAAATGTTAACAGGCCACTCTGCCTTGAATGGTCCCTTGCAATATGTGCTAACTACTTATACTAAACAATCTCTTCTGCCTTGCATTTTGCTGTGATGATCGGAGTACTTTCCCCAGATCTGAAGAGTGGTTCTTCATCCGTGGGTATGTCTATACAGCAGTGGTTCTCAAACGTTTGTATTGGTGACCCCTTTCACACAGCAAACCTATGAGTGTTACCCTCCCCCCCAAAATTAAAAATACATTTTTTTATATTTAACACTATTATAAATACTGGAGGCAAAGTGAGGCTTGGGGTTGAGGCTGACAGCTCACGATCCCCCATGTAATAACCTTGCAACACCATGAAGGTCGTGAACCCCAGTTTGAGAATCCCTGACTCGGTGTCATTGGGCTTGGGCTGCGGGGCTGTTTCATTGCTGTGTAGATGCTTGGGCTGGAGCTCAGGCTATAGGAACCTGCAAGGTAGCAGGGTTCCAGAGTCTGGGCCCCAGCCTGAGCTTGGAAGTCTCACAGCAATGAAACAGCCCCACAGCCCAAGCCCTGCAAGCCTGAGTTGGCTGACACAGGCCAGCCGTGGGTTTTTCTTTGCTGTGTAGACATATCCTCAGTGGCTCAAAAGCTTGACTCTCTCTCACCAACAGAAGTTGATCCAATAAAAGATATTACCTCATCCACCTTGTCTCTCAAATATCCTGGGACCAACACAGCTACAACTACACTGCATACTAGAGATCCAAGGATGTCTCAACTTGCTCAAAATGTTTAGAAGCCATAAATGAATGGAACTTCAGCAGTGCATTTGCTGTGCAGGTCACTTTAACTTCTGAGCAGGGAAAGACTAGATTGCCATCACTAGAATGACAAGCATTGAAGGGTTGATTGTTAGAATGTCTAGATGCCTAAAAGTCTATGGAACCAAAAAAACAAGAACACAGAGAGATAGCAGATGGAATAATTGCATTAAAGACAGCAATTTCACAACACCTTATCTGAAACAAAAATCATAATGATGTAAAAACAGGTCTACTATAAAAAAGTGTGTTAGTAATTGCTATCAGAGAAACTGGAGATTGATGAAAAAGAGTGCTCTCTGATAGAGAGAAGATCCCTAGCAAGAATCCCTGGCAAGAACAAGCTAATGAACAAGAACAATGAATATACTATGATCTTCATAGCATTGAACTTGCAAGAGTCATAGGTCATTTTTAACTGGAAAAAGAAGTGATGTCCATAAGGAAGTCAAGAGTAATTTCCGAAATGGAGGCCTATTCTTCTATTAAGAAAAAAATATTCATTGTTGAAAATATGAAGGCTTTAATTTTCTTTTCAATGAAGTGGAGAGTCATTTGTAACAATATTTTGTTATATTTAGAACAATAACATGCCACTGAGACATAGATAATTGCCTTGCTTTGGAGTATGCTGGGAAATCTGACCACTGGACTGTGGAAGCAGAAGACTTACGTTTCAGACCTTTATATGGGTAAAGGAATGCGAGGATGGCTACATACTGTTGTTTTTATCTTGTTAGGTTTGGCTTACTGTTGAAAGTTCATTTTTTGATAATTTGATTGTGACTGAATAATCACAGACACATCTGTTGGCAATTTTCATCTTCATTGTGTGTATATGAAACCTTGCAGTACTTACTCAAAGGAACAGAGTTCACATTCTTAATAGCAAGAGCAGTATTTGGTTTTGCCAACTCTTACAATTTTGTTGTTGACTCTCATACTATTGGATGTTTATCTTAAATCTCTACATCCTGGTATCATGGGATTTTGTGACAATCTCAATTTATATTCAAAACCCAAAATGTGTCTAGCCCTGATAGTTTCAGAAATAAGCTTGAAAATGTGAAATCTAAAGGCTCAAAAGTCAGAATGAAATATATTTATTTTTAAAAATCTTATGGTTTTTAAGCCAACCTCATGATTTTCTGGGGGGCCTGACCCATGATTGTTGAATGCTTGGGGTATGCAAGGTATAGAAAAGGGAAACAAAAATGATTAGGGGTATGGAACAGCTTCCATATGAGGAGAGATTAAAAAGACTGGGACTTTTAAGCTTGGAAAAGAGGCAACTAATGGAGGGGGGGGAAATATGATAGACCTCTATACAATCTGTGTGGAGAATGTAAATAAAGAAGTAGTATTTACTCCTACTCATAACTCAAGGACTAGGGGTCACCAAATGAAATTAATAGGCAGCAGGTTTAAAACAAACAAAAGGAAGTATTTCTTCACACAACACACACTCAACCTGTGGGACTCTTTGCCGGAGGATGTTGTGAAGGCCAAGACTATAACAGAGTTCAAAAAAGAACTAGATAAGTTCATGGAGGATAGGTCCATCAATGGCTCTTAGCCAGGATGGGCAGGGATGGTGTCCCTACCCTCTGTTTGCCAGAAATTGAGTATGGCAAAAGGGGGTGGATCACTTGGTGATTACCTGGTCTGTTCATTCCCTCTGGGGCACCTGGCATGGCCACTTTGGAAGACAGGATACTGGGCTAGAAAGAGGTTTGGTCTGACACAGTATGGCTGTTCTTATGTTGAATGCTTGGGCTTTGCAACACATTTTATTTTCCCTTCAAGGAAAGCACTTAGCCTTCTTCAGTAAAGGCCTATATCAGAATCCCCTTCCCTCTGTCTTTGTTCATCGCTCTTTTCTGACAAATGAAAGAGAAACCTTTGCTTTTTTTAAATTTAGTATAATGGTTATTGATCCTTTTAAAATGGGAGTTTCTGCTCAACCCTTTGCTTCATTTCCATCTATGGAACCTAGTATTCAGTTTCCTCAGTGTCATGATCTAGGAAGCAAGTTCCAGCATCCGGACATAATTTATTTTAAATTTGTTTATATATGAAAAAAAAAGTCCTGGAAGTTTTGAAAGACCCTGGAGAAGCTCTGTGCTTTCATTGTATTTTATCCATCATAAAAGCTTCTGGTTTTCTTTTTCTGAGTGCATGTGTATAAATGCACAGCTAATGATATGTGCATCTCTGTATTTCAGGAAGGCTCCATGGACAGCTTGTATGAGCCAGTCCAAGAACACCAAGACCCCAACGAGACCATTAGCATCAGCAGCAGAGCTAGCACGCCACTGAGCACCTATGTGAAATGTGGACCTCCAGACAGATCTCTGTCTTTGGTGAGTGGAAATAAATGAAGTACCCCATGCACTTTCCTCCAAACCATTACTTTTCTTGTCTGAGCTTTCCAACAGAGCCAGCATTGTTGTCTCAGCCTCAAATTTTAAATATCTACACTCCTTGGAACCTACCAAAATCCTACTAAGGGTTTTTCTCAGACCTTCATGCTTTTGAGATAGAAGAAATGAGTGCTGTCCAGTCTTACAAATAGGACCCTAAAAATAGGTCCTCAGCTCTGTAGCACTTTGGACAAGAGCCAAATCCATTGAGGTCAATGGGAGTCCTTCCATGGATGTCAATGAGCCCTTTATGACTAAGTAGCCATTATATAGAAGGACATGCAATATAACCACGGACTAAAACCATATAAGAAGAGAGGTTGAGAGGGTGTCTATGGAAAAATTATTTTATAAGCAAAGTATGTGATTCCCATTTATTAGTGAAAATAATGAAAGGTGGGGGAAGAACTATATGGTAAAATGAAAGGGTTCACTGTATGATTAAAACATAGAGCAGCAAGTTCCATAAAAGGATGCTAAAGGAGGAAAAAAACAAAAATGAATTAAAAGTAAGCTATTAACAAGGCTATATTTCTAACATATAGCATATTAAAATATGTACTTTAGTACATATTTGCTAGAATCTTTGAGTTTTCTACTGTGTATTTCTAAAAGCACAGACCAGCAGTGAACTAGGGAACAGACTGTAGCAGTATTTGGATTTCAATATAAGTATCACATCGTTAGAGTTGGCCACAATACTTCCATAAAAAAGTCAATGGAAAATGACTTAATGGAGATTTTCACACACACACACAATCTGTTTTCATCAGCATTTTCCAGGTTTTTTGTTTTTAAAAAAGTGAAAATCCAAAAGCTGAAAACAATTTGGCTCTTGTTTGCTTTTCAGTTGCCAAAAATCTAATAAATAAATAAATAAACATGAAGAAAAATTTGAGCAAAAATGAAACAAAAGTTGAAATTTTTGTAAGGGGGAAAATAATTTCTTAACCAGCTTTATGTACATTGATTTGCAAAGTCAGAAATGTTGGTATGTTAAGGAAGTCTTTTGGGATTGCAAATTAGCATGAGGTATAAATAACAAGAGAAAACTAATACAAACTAAGAATTTGGCAATGCAGAGAGGAGAGAGATAATAATAACAAAATTGGAATTAGGCTCACTATTTATGTCCCTTATGAAAGATGTACCTTTTAAAGTAGCTGCATTTATAAATTGGAGGACAGAAAATAGAACAGAGTGGAAAAAAATTAGGTTATCTTTCTGTTAAATTAGTGATTCTTATAGTTAAGCATAGGAAAGAATTAGGTTAATATTCTCACTCTTGTGTTGTGGATAGAGTAGTTGTTTCTCTCCTCCCCAAAGGTAGCTCCATTTTGGACAGGTTGACTAGTTAGTAAAGCACTCTTGGGAACACTACGGATGAAAGACATTAGGTAAATGTAAACTGTTGCTATATATTTATTATGAAGAAAATCAGGGTGACTGTAACCAGAGGCTTTCTGAAAATCAGCAGAGCCACCAAGTCTATTACCAGACCTGGATTATTTCTCTAATAAGCACACATGCAGTAAACCATCTGCACAATGCTTGGCTGTAAGATTAAAAAAAATATGTTGACTGTATCCAGTATGAATCAACAGATGTTATTTTCAAACTGTGCATGACATTAGTATGAATATATTTCAGCTGCCTCTTGAAATTCAGGTCACTATGCTACTGTATGTGGCCAAGATTGAAGTCACAACAAAGGGTAGTCAAACAAGAGACATGATCCTGCAAAGAGGTAATCCTGTATGTATCCTTACTACCATTTGACAGTGGGATTATCATGGAAATTTGCAGGAGTGGGCCCGAGGTTAGCAGTGATATACAAATTGTGGTCACAGATTAGCCAGACTTAGTCTGTGGACCTAAGGTTAGCATTGCAGTAGGCAGTCTTCTCCACCCCCACCCCAACTGGATGTATCTTCCATTCTTCTTCTCTTCTTTCTTGTTATCAACCTCAGCCCAGACCCTCTTCTAATTAAAATGAATTAGTGGTACCTTTTCTCCCTTCATCATGGCTTCTTACAGACATTTGCATTACTCCTGGTGATTATGTGAAGGCAGAATGGCTCCAATTTCACAGAGGGTCAACACCAGAAAATGCAGAAGGAGGTTGTTTACTGATAAAATCCATGACTCAATGCCTTTTTAATCATTATAAGGGCCACAGGCCATTTCCAGCATTAGTCCTGTTTTCCCACATGACCAGCTGAGGAGAGTCACCCGTCCCACTCCAGCTAGGGGATGCCAGCCGCAGTCAAAGAAGATTTAACCACAGAATGACTCAAAGGGGATCCATTCCCTAATTGACTATCCAGTCTACCAACAAGTCATCATGCTTCCTGTACAACCAATCACTCGCCCATCAGAGTCTGTGAGATGATGCAGTTTGATAGCGCTTGGCACTGTACAAAGCTAGAGTAAGAAACAGTCCCTGCCCCCGTGAGTTAAAAACACAAAACAAAGGGTTGGAGAAGGACATAACACATCAACAGAGTGAACAGAGGGATTGTTTGCAAGTGTCATGTATATCTCATGATTATTTTTAAAACAATTTTGGGATGAATTTTAGAGGTTTGGATATTTTGATTATATCACTGGTCTACAATTTTTGATAAGTCGTCTGCTTCAGAGATAAAATGTGCTATTTATTATGTATTTTGATGTGCTGAATTCAAATATGACAATTAAAACAACTGCTTGGCTACTGTTTCTAAGATATTTAAGTTTTTACATTTTATGTCTATGTATATTGTGTAGATAGTAGAGTTTTAATCATAAATT